CATTTTAACCCATAATCACGACAGTGAACGTGAACACAAACACACACACACACACACACACACACACACACACACACACACACACACACACTCAAAGCAAGGCAGGAAGGCTTTGATTTGCAATGCTCGAGCTGTCCTTGGCAACAGCCTGCTATGTCAGCCTCCAACTGGTTCTTTCTTGTGTTTTTTTTTTTTGTTGWTTTTTTTTTTGTTCTTCGGTATGCTTCAGTGTTTTTTCAACATTCTCTGTGATTTCCCACCTCCTCCTCTCTCAAACTAATTTGAATATTTTTGAATAAAAAAAACATCCAGGGAGAAGTCGGGCGACATTGTTGAACAGGGAGACACTTTTTTTGCGTGTGTGTTGCTAAGTTAAGTCATCCTCAATCCGTAATGAGGTTTTTCCATTTGTTTATGTGAGTATAAAGTTGAGTTGTYATAATGATGATATCGGGACGGTACCTGAGTGAAGACATGTCCGGCAGCATCCCCACAGCCTGCTGGCACAGCAGATGCTGTTTGCTGAGCTAATATTGACAGTGGACAGTTGCCACACACCAGGATGTGGCTGAATAGGTGAGGCAGCCTTGAAAATCTCCCATCTGTCAGCTGCCTGTCCATCACACCGCTATAAATACATTAACGAGATAAGAAAATGATATCTTCCACTCATGTGGAGGATTTTGACATTTTAGGACGTCAGAGTGACGAGRTGCAGTCAAATGGAACGGCGACTCTTCCTCTCTGTTGTTTCCCTCCCACCTCTTCACTCCCACTCCATCTTCGATCATCCTCCATGTCTCATTCGCTCCCACCCCAGCTCCTCCCTCCTCCTCCTCCTCCTCCTGGGTAAATTCTCCCATCGCTCTATCTGATCACCAGAGGTTTCCTGGCCAGCTGTCCCAGATTRGCCTTTTTTTTAAAGCTATATTTAAACCTGACTTTTGACAGCATCCATGTTTTAATTTGAATGCTCTCTTCATCAAACCTGACAACTGCGGCTGACAAAGTAGAGCTGATAATTCTTGCTGATCATCTTATCACAAAGTTTATTTTATTTTAGTCATGTTTAGCACAAATGTTAAGTGAAAAGTTTTCCATYATTGTTATTGAGATCTCCTGTGAGATGCCTATCCTTCAAACACAAAAGGTCAAAGAAAATATCTTCATATTCAGGAAAATTGGCATAAAACATATGATTTAATCCCTTTTGTCACATAACTGGCATGTTTTCCTTTGAATTTGGCTCCGCTAAAGTGAAACAGGAAGTGACATCAAAGGAGAACTCTTTAAGACAGAAAACTCCCTTGTCTTTGTTTATTAAAATAATATTATTTTAACTTTGACTTTTCTTCATCTCGCTCTTATTAGGACTGAAATTATCTAAAGAAACATCAGAAAATTCCCTGCTGTCTGTGTAGTTAGTCGTTGTAGCAATGCTCTMTTCACATGCAGACATTCCCCTTTGTCATCACTTCCTGTTACCGTACTTCACATGCGTATATCTCAACAACTGTTTGTCTCAGTGATGTGAAATTGATTTTGCTGTATGTTATCTATGTTATCTTTCCAAAAGTYCAATCYCATTTATCACAAAAATTTAATGTCACAGGCACTTTAAAGTTGAGTTGATCCCATTGTAGCCAGAATGAGGCCAAATTTGAGGCACKTTAAATTAGGGGTGGGCAACGTAAACAATGGAAGGGGACGCCATTTTTTGTTGGCACTACAAGAGGGCCACATAGCGCCGCACACTTTACTCGAATATAATAAAACTGCTATTTTAAAAAGGTTTGTATATATA